CTGGTTGGGAACTGGGGAGTCGGAAAGAGATGGGGTGTAGGGAAAGGGAGGGAGAGGAGACGAGGTGTGTGGGAGAGAGGGGAAAGGAGGATAGAGAGTTATAGGAAACATAAGGATAGAGGTGGAGAGGAAGGTGGGAAGAGAGAAAAAGGAGTATTGAAAAGGAAATTAGAGAGGGCGGAGGGGAGCGAGCGAAAGGGAGGGATAGATGGGGGGAGACTGGACGACGGAAGGGATAAGGAGGAGGGGATATGTAGGAAAAGGGAGGGGATTTAGGAAGTATAGGGAGCCAGAAATAGCAGGAGGTAGGGGGTTGAAATTGAAGGTTGTTTAAAGGTATTGGGAAGGAGAGAGAAGATCAAATGTGTGACAAAAAATGAGAGAAGAAGGGAGAGAAATAGAGAAGTGGATTGATGGGTGAGAAAGAAGAGTATAAGTATATATTACTTATTTATATCTATATATGCTTTTATGCGCATACACACACACACACACACACACACACACACACACACACACATATATATATATATATATACATATATATATAATATATATATACATACACACACACACACACACACACACACGCACACACACACGCACATAAAAATATACATACACACGCATATATATACGAATAAAAAAATATGAGTAGTGTCTTTCTCTCCTTCTGACCTCCTTTCTATTTATATAAATGTGTGTATTTGTGTGTGTGTGTGCATGTGTGCATGAGTGTATGTGCATTGCTATATATATATGTGTGTGTGTGTGTGTGTATTTATGTTATACATACATATACGTGCATTGTATGTGCATTGCTATATATATACATATGTGTGTGTGTGTGTGTGTACATATATATATATATATATATATATATATATATATATATATATATATATATATGTGCGTGTGTCTGTGTGCCCAAACATAGACACGCACACAAACTCAAACACACATACACATACACACGCACACCCAGCTACCGACACATATATGTACATACATATATATGTATACATATACATACATATATGTATATATACATATATATATATATATATATATATATATATATATATATATATAATTGCGTATATATATGTATATATATATGTATATATGTATATATATATATGTATATATATATATATATATATATATATATATATGTGGATATATATATATATCTATATCTATATCTATATCTATATATATATATATATGTATATATATGGATATATATATATATATATATATATATTTATATTTATATATATATGTATATATATATATATATATATATATATATAT